ACCTATATGCAATGGCGCCCTTGTCATCGGTACCATTAAACAGAACTCCACGAGTACGAGGGTTTTTTTACCTGTTATCGTCTGAAATGAAGTTAAATGTCCCACTTTTCTGTGACAAGCGGGCTAATGAAGACCTAAAATGAAATGAAATGAAATGAATTGGGGTTTAACCTCCTACGTCTCCTCCTACTGGACCAATGAAGACGGGCATAAGCCTCATGCTTATGAGGGAAATCTTGCCCGGTGAGCGACGTTTCCGGTACTCTATATCGAATTTCGGCTGCCTGGTTTTGATTTACATGCCCACCAATGTGTGCACGGGTTGTAGTTATTCATCCTATTCGAACGACTAGCTGCTCTGTCCTGTCATGGCTACTGCCTTGCACTACTAACAAGAGGAAACCACGCTGATATAATCTGAGGTACTTTCTCTACCAACCCAGGGATCAGTCTATTTTTTTTTAATAATAGGTCACTGTCAGTTAATGAGTTATAATATCACCTAGTATGAGTAGTATAATATTTTACTTATAGACAAACTGGGATTTTACCAGTATGGTAATGTGTCAGCAGCATTCAAATCAACTTATGATCACTGTGTTTCAGGCGTATGATTCAAAACGCCAATGGTTAAATTTCATTGTGGAGCTGACGAACATGCAACATGCCATGACGATTTGCTGGAATAAAAGTGTAGAGCGGTTATAGGCACTATGATGACATTGTGGTGCCATGCGAATTGTTATTCGAAGCGAAGTCGTCTGATGTATTAGTAGTAGTACAGTAATCGTTTAATGGACCTGCCACACTGTTGTGAATAATAGAAACTTATGAGTTGCGTATGAAAATTAGAAATACAGAAATGTTCGTATCTTACCGTATTGAACCTATAAAGTAGCGTATGCACTGCGCATGTCCAGCGTACCGCCATCACGTGACAAAGTGGTCAAATAAGCAATGGCCTTTCTCGGAAAGAGTGACTGGCTGTTGTGGGGGACCCTCCGTCCGAAATGGGAGTCTATAATATATACACTTTCCCAAAACGCTGGAAATAAGCCGGTGATACGCTGGCCAGCGTATTACCAGCGTACTTGACCTATAAGTAACGTACCTCTAGCGCAACTCTCGCGTATTCAGCGTATGCTTAGCGTAGGCCTACATACTTAACGCATACACCGAATACGCTCAGAATTTTATAAGCATGCTTAAAAATATATTTCTACCCCGCCTTATGCTACCGTATGTCACCATATGCGACCGTGCTAAAACCGTATACAATCTATACCATACGTACCCCTAGCGTATGTCACCGTAGACCAGCGTATGCGTGATATTTTTCACACGCTGGCATACGCTAGTACGTTATGCAATAGTGTGACAGAGCTATAAAGTGTAATTCTACAATAGTGATACTATAGTAGGGTGAATTTGGACTCAATAGTAAATGTTTAATACGTCATGCTAATCCGCACAGTATTACATAATTCAGTCAATTATATTTTAATGGATCTTAATCCACCTTAATTACCCACCATTTATATCTACTTCATATTGTCTTATATATTTCATTAATCACCTGTCTCCAGTATTCTTTGTTTTAAACTTTAAATTGAGCTTATAAATTATAATTAACGTCAACGGGCTATAGCGTTTAGTTACCAGGGTATATTGTTTGTAGATTTATAGGATTAATGCCTTAGGCGATGCATGGGGATATATAGACCCAAAATGACAGAATTTGGGAGATCTTGGGAGATCAACTTAGATCACATACCTAAGGACAGACCTTATTTACCTGTATTTGGAGACATAAGTTTATGTCAATTCCCATATCCACATTGGAGCTTATTTACTATTAAGCATTGGACCAATAATTGTTATATTAATTGTCTGTTGTGATATTTGTTGATTACTGTTTACCAAAGAATATAGAGAACTATTAACAACCATCAACAGTCTTGTCTTCTTTTAATCAACAACGAAGATTCCAGAAAATACACGAAAAGTGCACTTGTACAATACCACAAACAAGTCGTCTCGACATTCGACATCACTATTTGACAAATCCGAAAGCAAACATTTTTTTCTTTTTGGGGCAATCGTATTATTTGCATCCAGAATATAAGTGTAAAATAAATCGATCATTTTATTTACCAATTTGAAAAGCGTCAATGCTTCTTAATAATTAAAATTTTCCCTCTTTGCAAAAAATAATGTTTTTCAACTTTTATCAATTAACTTCTTGTGGAAACAAAAGATCTTTTAAATTTGTTCAATCTATTTAAAGCAGTGATCAATTTATATTGTTAGTGAAATCACTAGTTAATTATTGATATCAGATAACTTGTTGGCGTGACACACTTGACTTTATCGACGTGACATCGATTAGCAGCGTTCTTTCTTAAAGCAACAATCTACAGGGATGCCTCAATCGGTATGGGGCTGGCTTTCTAACCAGAAGGTCGGGGGTTCTATCCAAGTGTTGTCCGAGAAAGTTTCTCAAGAATTTACGGCGTGGTTTCCCCTACTCAGCGTTCCAGGAAAGGGAGCCGGGCAAGGTACATCGTCCAATGTAAAAGAATCCTTGACAGTTGGAATTTGAAATACGAGTAGGCTGTAGCACAGCTGCCTGGGCAAAATCTCCCTCATAGTAAACAAATGTCTACGATATCACTCTAGGTAGAAGCAGACGTTAAGCCCGATACACTCACACTTTGGATGACGTTAATGTTCCAACTTACCCAAGTCAATTGAATTTGTGTTTCAAAAGGTCAACCAATCAGATTGTAGTAGGTTGTTCAATATGCAGGATAGCGTTGAACGTGATGAGGAAGGCGTGTACCAAGTTTTATTAAATTCTATACATTAGAAATAAAGTTATCGCGTTTCAAAGAGTGTAACGGAAATATCCAATTTAATGTAATAAATTAATTATAACAGGGCGTCAACACGTTTGGACCCATTCTGTGTACTGGGAACTATCTGCTCCGAGAATAGTTCTCTACACTGAATGGCTACCATATCTAAACAGTGGGATGTGGGGTGTGGGGCTAACATATGGTTCAATTTTATTTCAATGATTCGCTTGCACGAGGGGTCTTTAGCAGTGGGAGGAAACTGGAGGACATTGAGAAAACCCACGAGGTTGGACAGGCGACCCTACTCCTTGTCACGTACAACCGCGGAATCGAAACCACGTCAGTTAACTCAATGACAGACCTTATGATACAGCGCGCACGTGCTAACCATTTGGCCATCCACCCCACCCCCTATCATCAATAAAGACCCACGGATTTAACAAGAGATGCTGGAGTGTGCTCCCTTTATTTGTTAACGCCTTTGCAGTCACTAATTCCTCGCCTCCTCACTCGCCACAAGCATACAAATGTTACAGTAATTGTATGATAATAGATACTAACAACGGGTTCCAATACAAAGTCCATTGAATAGATTTGGTTAAATTGACCAACAACACCAACAAGTAAACTTCAAACGCGTGAAGAAAATAGTCTTTATAAAACAAACAGAGTATAATCAAAACTGTGTGGCGCAATATCTATATTAAACACAAACAGATAATCATGAATAACAGTAGTCTTCTAATAGCATTTATCTCCTTAAATACACAAAGCTGTATAACAGTAGCCTTCTACGAGGATTGCATCTCTCTTAAATACACAATCTAGTCGTATCATCGACATACTATACTAACGCAATATATACTCTTACAAAAAGTAGGGGATATTGAAATGCGAATACCTATGCAGGTTGTGATATGATAAATAGTCATGGACACTTGACATGCTTTGAGAGTATGTTCACAGATGAAGAACTTATCGCCCCAACAGAACCACTGAGCTGCACATGCGACACGCAATAGCACCATACACGTGGTAGGGGTTCACTGTCAAATTTGACACCTCAAGGAAGGGTTGATGAAAACTGCCGCGTAATGGTTTATCTATCCATGTTTGCTTTCCTATCGGTTCTTGGATAAGATTTACTGTTTAGCGTATCTTTGCTTTAGTGTGTTACGTTTAATTTGATCGTCAACGTCAACCGACAACACTGCAAGAATTGGCCGTGGCACCGCAAGAGGGGTGGGTCAGATTGCCCCAAATCGTGATTGGGCGGTTGATTAGGATCATGCCACGACGAATTGCCGAATGTCGGAGGATTGGTGGAGCAATTATTCATTATTAAGACAAAAATCAAAAACGTCAATTTTCACTCTTTACGGTGTGAAATGGGACCGTCAGATAAGCCGCCCATATGAACTGTTTATGTTCATGTGTAGGCAATTGGCCTGTTATTAACATACACTGGTTACCTCTAATAAAAACAGCAGTGCATTCCCGTAGTTTTGTATTGTTTCTGAATATCCCCATCTTTTTTGGAAGAGTATATATTTTGTTTTTATTCGTTCAAATTCTTCTGTCCTCCCCGTCAAACGTTATCAGGTCTGGCACCCGCGGCCTAACAAGGACAATTTACGTAGTCGTTCGGGTGGGACAAAAAACCGATGTCCTCCCGTGTTCACATTAACGGGCATGTGAAATAACCAAAATTCGAATTATTTGAAGGGTTAGTCTCAAAATAATCAAGTACCGCGTCCCATTCCCATTCAAACGATCTTTGCTTATTTTTTTCCCGTTCTTTTTACACGGTAGTTACTATCAATTCAACTTTTAAATGAAATTATCATTTTATAAACATTTATACGAATTTGTATTGCCATTTAGCTCCGCTAATAGCCCCGTCTCTTTAAGATCATTAATAAAAAAAAACTCGCCTGACAATTGGCACTGGTCGGATTAGATCAATCAGAGAAACAGGTTTACAATGTGCTTTCAAACGAACAACTCACTTCAAGCAATTAGAGGCGGGGCTTGTTGGCACGTGCAGTTCATTATGATTGACAGTTAGATGTGTGGCGAAGCTGTGTTGTAATTATTGACGGTTTTAGGTGAAAAGAATGTCGGGATATATAGAAGCACGAGGTAAATGTGTAGAGGCGGAATTACCAATAGAGAGATAGGAAACTAGTTTCCTATACATGGAACTTCTGTATAAACTACCTAGACCATCGGAATAAGCTTAACATGGTGCCGACAATTAAATGATGCTAACGTAATGGCTTATTGACCAAGTTGTGTTATGTGATACTTACGTTTTAATTATTGCTCGGATGTTTACAGATTCAAATTAAACGCTCATTACTTTTACTTTAAAAATTCCGAACTGCGTCTATTTTGGTTTAGCTTGGAAATAATTTGAATGACTTGAGTTTCACAAGATTTAAATTCAATTTTTGCGTATCTTGCAATGTTACTTAAAAGTTACTAGAACTAAACGTTTCGGTAAATCCAAGTCAAAACGAGCGATATCTACCCCTGTATTTATTAACCACGATATTCTGCTTTTAAAAATCTTCTACAATGTGTTCTGGACCAATGGATTGGATTTATAAACTTACAATATGTATAATGTTAACTTTTTCATTAGTTCAAACCTTCGAGACAAAAGGCAAGAAAAGGTAAGTAGAATGTTTACATATTCGCCGTATTCCTTAATTTGTATATTTTGGTAGAGCGCTCAACTTCCCCGCAAGTTTTGTATTCTTTCTGAGTCGAGCGATATGAAAGTGGATAAATAAATATCAGTATGGTCTTCATAACTGCCCTCAGAAACGTGTACCGAATTCTGTGGCAGGTGTTGCGCCTCCAACACAGGCTAAAGTATCGACCTGTGAAGACGGGGGTAAATAAATGAACAAATAATTGTAAAATGTCCAAATATCTTAAAATGAAGCCTGGATACTTTTATTTTATCGGAATGTCGGTCGATGTATTTCTTTAATAAAGGCTACACAAATATGTACTCATTTAAAAATAGTTTGATATAGTTTCATAAATAATTAATAATACAATCTCTAGATGGCGTTATTTTGAAATTATTGTTTTCTTTTTATATTAGCAAGTTCAAATTATTTGTTATTAAAGTCGACGTCCCAGTTTGGACAGGGTACCCGTAGATAAGAGTTAGTTTATAAGTATACCATCATGGAATCAGACTGCTAATGATTATGCAAATTAAATATGATCAAATAGTTTATCAGTAGGATTCAGTTCCAATGGTTAAGCTGTTCGGAAGTGATCACTAAATTGATTGAACGGGGGCTACATAACTTATTTAAGGAATTCCGTTGTTCAATAGTATGAATGAACCAGTAATTGCGACGATTAGTTAGCATGTGTGTAGACATGGCTATCAAAGCACTTCAGGATGTCGCTGAATTTGCGGTGATTATATACGCTGGACTTCTATTTATCATTAAAGGGACTATCCCGATTTGAACAGTATCAAAAATAAAAGTCTGAGTACGTATGAAATTTAAGCGCCAAATATAGAGGAATGGTGTATTTAGCTTGTCTCAAATTTTCAGCTCAAAATATTGAGTCGTTTGGACGTGAACGTCAAAACTGCTTATCTGGACACTTAACCTTTAAGATTTCGGGTCAGTTTTTTCGTTGGGTGACCTGATAATCGATTCCCGTTCCTTTAGAGGTACATACAATGAATGGCCCATGTGCTGTACTAGATAACGAAAGGTAAATTTCACCTACACATTATTTTTATAAAATAAAAGTCTGCTTTTATCCAGACACTGCATAATATAGTCTGATACACCGGTCTCCATTGTCAGATAAAGACTGACGGGTTTAAGGTGTTTCAAAACGCATCACATATGTTGAGTTGGTTGCTCGGCCCTAAGGTAGTGGATTTTAACGGATTTTAACTCAAAATTAATCAGTTTTATTCTCCAAAATATTATCAGGATTGGCCCTTTAATGTAATTCCACTTGTTTCTCGCAGGAATAACCCCTGAGCGGTATTAGTATCTGTCCGCCACTTTTTTGGGGGAGTCCCACATATATTTTACTTAAATCAACTGCTTAAAGACGCGTCTGTGATAGTACGTTCTAAATTGTGTGATGGCGGGGATAAAAATTACATTTACAGATATTATGTAAGAGCTAAATCTGCCTAATGCAGATCTTCGTTTGTACTCAAATATTATATATATCATTAATAAGACATTTATTTACATGCCAGTCCCCTGATCAACCCTCTGGAACTTCGGATGGTTTTGAGTTTCAAAAGATTTAAATACGATTGGCAGTTAAAGATTTAATTTTAAAATGGACAATCGAGACTTTTTTATTATCGTAACAACGGTAGCTGTTACAATCGAGACAACAATGTTATGCAAACGAATGAAGTAATTTGTCTGAAATATTCAACATATTCCCTTTTCATTATCTATTTTTAACTATTATAGCGAGACCTTCCCGAATATCAACCACTCATGTTTACCAACAATCTGACTAAAACAGACCCTATTTCGTTTCGTTTTTTATAGTTCAAAATTTCGTTTTATTTGTCTGTACTACACTAGGATCTGGAAGAGTTGTTATATAACAGGCGTTCTGGATGACGTGAGGGATAAGCCAATGAAACCATCTGTTACGGCGAGTTCTTGGCGTGCCATGCGCGGAACTGTGGGTTAACCCCCTAGAAACGTCAACGCTGATTGATTAATCAATGACTGACGTCATACGGTCAACAGCCGCTTGTACGACCCCTGACGCGACCTTCGAGTACAACTGATCAGATTTTCACGTAGTGTAGGCCATCGAAAGTAAATAATAAAAAAAAAACAAACGAAAAATAGATCTATATTTTAATCAGATTGGTTTAGCAAAACTTGTGCTTTATCCCGAACGACTCACTATTTTATTTTGAAAGTTGATACAAGCTAAATGTCACATTTGACGTTTGATTTACAGACAACAATTCAATTATAGTTTTGGTGCCCTGTGAATCTGGAACGCCCCCTTAAACACTGTATAAATTTGCGGTTTACTCTATCGGAAATACGACTAATGTAAATATTAGACAAATAACTAGCCAAATGTTGTTTTGTATGGAATTAATTTTAAAATGTAAACACGAAGAAAAACAGCTCTACGAAAATGTAGCTCTATACGTATGTTTTACATTCAGCTTGTATTACAGCATTTTAAAAACCAAACTGATTAGCAGTGAATATTCGTTAGGCCTCTACTACAATCATTGAGTTAATTAGCTCACAACATTAACTGGTATCCATCTGCAAATTAGATTCTTAAACATTTTTTGAAGTATTAAAAAAATCAATAAAGGTGTTTGATGTGTATCTCGATAAAAATAGATTTCCTATTTAGTGTAAATACAATAATACGCGACGACGTAAAATGAGTAAAAGGCACCATTCTGCCCGGACTAGTTTACGTTACCACGTCTTATCTAAGCAATACACACGCTATCGAAGCCAATGATCGACGACAGGTGATGTGACGTCACACGGAGAAATCACATGAACTTGTAATTTAGAAAGGTCAACACAGAGTTATAAGAAGGCTTTGGCATTACCTCTGTGAAACAGATTGCATCAAAACGTGTATATATTGTTGTTAATTGGCATAATCGTTCCAGGAAGTTTTGTATTGGTATTTACATGTTTCTATCCCTAGAGAATGTATATATCAACATGCCGTTACATTTAATATCTGATACTATATCCACATGAAGATATATTTAATATCGGATAATATATCCACATGAAGTTAATTTAATATCAGACTATATATCCACATGCAGTTACGATTAATATGGGATAATATATCCACAAGGAGTTGCATTTAATATGGGATAATATTAATATATCCACAAGGAGTTGCATTTAATATCCGATAATATTATCCACCTGCAGTTACATTTAATACCAAACTATATATCCACATACAGTTACATTCAATACCAGACTATATATCCATATGCAGTTACATTTACTATCGGATTATATATCAGGATAGAGTTACAATTAATATCGGATAATATATCCACCTGCAGTCACATTTAATATCGGATAATATGTATCCACATACAGTTACATTTAATACCAGGCTATATATCCACATGCAGTAACATTTAATATCGGATAATATATCCACACGTAGTTATATTTAATATCGGATAATATAACAGATAACATGGATTTATTTTTTAAATTGAGTTGTATGAAGTACAATTTATTCTTTAAATTCCCTATACACCGTAAGTGATGCGTCTTGTGTTGAAACTGCGGAGTTGTGCGCGAGATATAAGGGATCACATTTTCCGTAAGTGATCGAGGCTTAGACAACTACCGAAGCTAGTCACATGATCGTTAAGAGTGGAGAGTCTCTCTTTGGGCCCAGATTGTCAAATATAGACTACAGAACCAAAGGAATATTCCACCAAGCGGCAGTCTCTAATACTAAATGGTTAGAAAACATCATTTTTATTGGCCAATCAATCTTTACGCGTTATGGCCAGAATACCGATTAATACCGATTCGGTCACTAAACAAGATAATTATACCTTGTACGTACATTGTACCACATGTAACTGACACACCTGTAAGGGTTTATCGTGTGAATGGATCATCTACCTAACAGCTTAATTAGGGAGCCGCGGTGGCTCAGTGAGTAAGACAAAGGCTCGCTAACCAGGATGTCTCGAGTTCGCCACCGGTGTTGGCGAAGAATGTTCCTCGGTATTTTCCGGCACGGCTTATCCATGTCAGTGGTGCAGGATTGATGGTAGTGTCTAGTCGTTCCGATAGGACTATAATTTGAGGTCCGGTATACACATCGGCGTGCACGTAAACGAAGTCTTGAAAGTTAGAATTCGAAATAAGAATAGACCATCGTGCCGCTGTCCGGGAAAAATATCACCCATAGCCCATTGCATGGCGTATGTCCGTTTTCATTTTCCCAGTTGACGCAGAACAGTAGGACGTTAAACCCCATTTATATGCGTGTGCATTAACTACTGGGTTTAATCAATAGACGGAATATTCTCAATAGAGATTTCTTCTCGACCAATTCAATTTGCGTGTCTAGTTTCATATATTAAAGAAATCAATAAATGAAAAATACATTTCATTTTGTTCAATATTTGATCTAATGTGTGTCTCTAGAGAATAGTAGGCTGTCTCACATTGAACAATAAAATATAAGATATCTCATGTGTTTGTCTCCGGTACAATAACAGTTGATTGTACTTCATAAATCCTGGCGGACACTTTTATAAATAAATAAACAGAGCCACTTGTCTTGTCTGTATATCCAGTCGGATTTTTTTAAAATGAGAATCACTCTCATCTGGCAGGTTTTTCGAACGCATGCTTCCAGCAAAGTTTGAACAGTCTGATCATACTGATAATGGAAAGCAATCTGACCATCTTTATTGCACTGGTCGCGTCGTCGGTTCTGACTACCGGAAGTCATGCAGTTCACTTCGTGAAGAGAGAGAGAGAGAGAGAGAGGGGGGGGGATAGGGTTTAACATCCACTTGACAAAAACTAGGCCAATTCGGGAATAACGTATATATTGTTCAATTTTATTTCAGTATTTCGCTTGGGGTCTTTAGCAGTGGGAGGAAACCGGA